AGACAGGTGGTGAGTGTATAAGTGCTGCCAGCTAGCAAATACAGGAGCACAGCACTGCTTGCATAGATAACATACAAGTAAAACAAAGAAAATGAAAATTGTAGGCAAATCACTCCAACTTACAATCACCAATTAAATATAAACACAAAAATGTCACAATGCCTTGGAGACAACAGAGCATCACAGTACATTCAAAGAAGTAAATTAAAGCAGGAGAAACAAGGGACCAGGATACAGACCCAAAACACATCCCTGAGGAAGACACAGCATTGGAACTCCCTGATAAGAAATTCAAAAGAATTACATTTAGGTACCTTCAATGAATCAAGAGACAGATCAAGGAAAACACTTACAAAATTGAGGAAAACACAGAGAAAATCCTAAAACAACTTGGGAAGACAATACAAGAACAAAATGACAAAATAAATGAAATATTAGATACAAAATCTATAGACAGAACTCCAGAAGATTAATACTAAATTTTCAGAAATAAGTAACACATTGAATGGGCAAAGGAGCAGAATTAAATCAATGGAAGACCGAATTAGTGAGATTGAAATAAGTACCTCAACACTTCTTTGGAAAGGGAACAATCAGAAAAAAGATTTAAAAAAAAAAGAAGAAGAAGAAAGCCTGAGGTTCATGTGGGATACCATCAAAAGGAATAACCTATGTGTAATCAGAATTCCAGAATAGGAAGAGGCAAATAAAACCACAGAAAAATTGTGGAATATTTGTTGGAAGAGAATTTTCCTGGTATGATGAAAGATGAGAATATGTCCATTCAAGAAGTCCAACGAACCCCAAACAAGTTAGACCCGAAAAGAAAATCACCAAGACACATCATCATCAATCTCACCAAAACCAAAGACAAGGAAAGAATCCATAAAGTAGCGTGGGAAAAATGAAAAGTTACCTACAAGGGGCAACCAATCAGAATAAGCTCAGATTTCTCAGCAGAAATCATGCAAGCAAGAAGGCAATGAGATGGTACATATAAAACCCTGAAAGAGAAAAATTTCCAATGAAGAATTATTTACGCAGCAAAATTGTCCCTTCAGAGAGATGCAAATATGATGGTGAAATTAGGACATTTCCAGATAAGCAAAAATTAAGGGAACTTGTAAAACTAGACCAAGCTTACAAGAGTTGCTAAAAGGAGTCCTTTGAACAGAAAAGCAACAATAGCAAACAACAACTGATCATTAACACACATGATGACATAACCCAGAAACCAACCCAGCTATGGAAGTATCTAAAATAAATAAGCCTACAAGATAGTAAACAGGGACCAGAGGCATCAATTGATAAATGAGGACAACTACAAACCAAAAATAGGGAAAAAATGTTGTCCTTACAGAACTTCTAGATGGTAGGGAAGTCAAGACAACTACAAGATAGAACAGACTTTTCTAAACTTGGGAAGATAACTATAAATCACAAGGTAACCTCAAAGAAAAATGATAAACCTTAACATCAAAATAATAATAATAAAAAGGAACAGCACAAATATTTAGCAAATACTATAACAATAGCAATGAAGGAAGTGATGACATGATTCATAAACAAAATTAACTCAGCACAGAAAATTGTAAGGAACAAAGAAATCAACACTACAAAAAAGCACATAACAAAATGAGAGCAACAAATTCATACCTGTTGATAATTACTTATGTGGCAAGGGACTTACCTCTAAGATTTATAGAAAACTCCAATGCCTCAACACCAAAGGAATTAACAATCCAATTGAAAAATGGGTGAATGACATAAATAGACATTTCAAGGAGGATATTCACGTGGCCAGCATGAAGAGATGTTCATGATCATTGGCCTTCAGAGAGATGCAAATCAAAACAACGAGATACCATCTCACCCCAGCACTGATGACAAGGTTCAATTAGACAGAAAATAACAAATGCTGACAGGGATGTGGAGAGATTGGGACTCTCATTCACTGCTGGTGGGACTGCTAAGTGATACAACCACTGTGGAAAGCAGCATGGTGATTCCTTAGAAAGTTGGAATTGGAGATACCATTTGACCCAGGAATTCCATTACTAGGTGCATATCCTAGAGAGCTGAGAGCCAGGACAGGAACAGATATATGCACACCCATGTTCATCACAGCACTATTTACAATAGCAAAAAGATGGAAACAACCTATGTGCCCATCAATGGAAGAGTGGATGACAAACTATGGTACATACACACAATGGAATGCTATGCAGCACTAAAGAGTAATGTAGAGTCTGCAAAATACCTCATAACATGGATGAACTTGGAGAACATTATGCTGAGTGAAATAAGTCGATCACAGAAGGACAAATACAGTATTAGTTCATTATTGTAAAAAGTCAAGGAAAGGTTTATATATGGAAGAAAACTTTCTTTGCTGGTTGCCAGGGATGGGAAGGGATGGGAGGGAACACTGCAAAATTAAAAAAAAAAAAAAAAATGCATTGACCCATGTCACTTTAGTTTTGTGTATTTCACTGTACATAAATTATATTTCAATAAAATGCATTAAAGAGAAAGAAAAAAAGAGGTCTTTTGCAGCCGATTTGCCCAATGCAATACATCATTTGATTTCTTGACACTGCTTCTGCGGGCATTGATTGTGGATTCAATACAATGAAATCCTTGCCAACTTCAATCTTTTCTCCATTTATCATGATGTTGCTGATTGGTCCAGCTGTGAGGATTTTGGTTTTATTTATGTTGAGGTGTAATCCATACTGAAGTCTTTGATCTTCATCAGTAAATGCTTCAAGTCCTCTTCACTTTCAGCAAGCAAGGTTGTGTCATCTGCTTATCACAGGTTGTTAATACGTCTTCCTCTGATCCTGATGGTGTGTTCTTCTTCATACATTCCAGCTTCTTGGATTATTTGTTCAGCATTGTTGTTGTTGTTGTTATGTGCTGTCGAGTCAGACCCGACTCATAGCGACCCCTCCTTAGGTTTCTGAGGCAGTATCACTATGGAAGTAGATTGCCCCATCATCCTTCCAAGGAGTGGCTGGTGGGTTTCAACCGCCAGGCTTCTGGTTAGTAGTCAAGTGCCTTAGGCACTACACTACCAGAGCATACACACTAAATAAGTGTGGTGAAAAGATGCAATGCTGACACATATTTTTCCTGATTTTAAACCACTTAGTATCCCCCTATTCTTTTCAAAGACTGCCTCTTGTTCTACGTACATGTTCATCGTGAGCAGAATTAAGTGTTCTGGCATTCCTATCCTGTTGAACGCTATTCATACTTTGGGGTTTGATCTACACATTTGAATGCCTTTGCATGATCAATAAAATACAAATAAACATCTTTCTGGTGTTCTCTGCTTTCAGCTAAGATCCATCTGACATCAGTAATGATATCTCTCATTCCACATTCTCTTCTGAATCTGGCCTGATTTGCTGACAGCTCCCTATAGATGTACAGCTGCAACTCTTTTTGAATTATCTTCAGAAAATTTTACTTGTATGTGATATTAATGGTATTATTCGGTAATATCCACATTCCATTGTATCACCTTTCTTTGGAGTGGGCTCCAAAATGGATCTCTTCCAGTCGGTTGACCGGATAGCTGCCTTCCAAATTTCTTGGCATAAAGGAGTGAGTGCTTCTAGCATTTCATCTATTTGTTGAAACATCTCAATTGGTATTCTGTCAATTCCTGGAGCATTGTTTTTCACAAAATCTTTCAGTGCAGCTTGAACTTCTTTCAGTATCATCAGTTTTTAACCACGTGCCACCTCCTAAAATGATTGAACATCAACCACTTCTTTTTTATACAGTTACTCTATGTATTCCTTCCATTTTCTCTTGATTCTCCCTGCATTGCTCAGTATCTTGCCCATCTAACCTTATAATTTTTCAAATCAAGGCTTGAATTTGTTTCTTCAGTGCTTTCATCTTCAGAAATAATGAGCATGTTCTTCCCTTTTGATTTTCTAACCCCAAATCTTAGCAAATTTCATTATATTACTTTACTTTGTCTTTTCTAGCCACACTTTGAAGTCTTCTGTTCAACTCTTTATTTCATCATTTCTTCTATTCACTTTAGCTAGTCTCCATTCAAGAGCAAGTTTCAGAATTTCTTCTGACATCCATTTTGGTCTTTTCTTCTTTCTTATCTTTTCAATGACCTTTGATTTCTTCATATATGATGTCCTTGATGTCATCCCACAAGTCCTCTGGTCTTCAGTCAATAGTGTTCATTCAATGTGTTAAATCTATTCTCAAGATGGTCTCTAAATTCAGGTGGGATATACTCAAGGTCTTACTTTGGCTCTCATGGAGTGTTTTAATTTTCTTCAGCTTCAACTCGAACTTGCATTTGAGCAAGTTGGCTCCTGATCTTGCTCTGACTGATGATATTGAGCTTCTCTATCATCTCTTTTTTGCAGATGTAGTCAATTAGATTCCTATGTATTCCACCTAGCATAGTCCATGTGTATAGTCGTATATTATTTCTGTCTTAGCTAATCCTTACTCTAAGAGATAGCGCTGCCCCATGAAGACACTGAGACCCATAGAACTCATGCAGCAAGCCCAAGTTCACACAGTATGTAAGCGATGGACCTATGATTAGATTCCAGGTCTATTGTTACTACACATTACCACATCTTAGATATGAAATGTATGCACCCTGTACACATCACATTTGCCTTAAATTGTCACAAAACCCTGAAGTCAAAATGTGTGTCCAGCTTTGGAAAGATGGGTATATTTGTCATGTCTGGTAAAGGAATTGATCCTCATTGCCTTCTAAGGCTCAAATATGTAAATGAACTCAGGCTGCTGGCTCAAGGGCTGGCTGTTTGCCCCTTAGCCTGTCAGCTCACCCAGCTTCGATCAAGTGTTCTTTGAGCAGTTTAATGTGTCAAGAATTGGGCATGGATATCATGTCTCTGGCTCCAACTGGTCAATTTGGAGGACATAGTTGCCTTGCCAAGTGACCCCAGTCAGAAGAGTCTCTGAGAGCTCTGTGAGAGGCCTACCTGCAGGTACAGCTCCACCAGCTCATCATCCTGCATGAGGTAGTGGAGGCGCCCAGCCCCAAGCCAGGCCTCAGCCGCCTTATCTCTCTCCCTCATGTCAATGAAGATACGCAGGCTCTCCTTGATACAGGTTAGGGATCTCCTGAGTGACCTGGAGGGCAGACATGAGGTCATGAGTATGAGGTTCAAACAGACCTCAGAGGTTATCCAGCACAGAAGTAACCAAGGTACTGAAAAGGAACAAATTTTTCCAGATCACACAGAGAAGTCAAGGTCTGATTTGGAACCCAGCTCTGCCCCAGCCACCTGTGTGACCTTGAGAAAGTACAAAACTTCTCTGTGCCTCAGTTTCTTCACCCGTGAAGTGAAAATATATTTCAGAAGACTGGGAGGAGTTAATGAGCTAATAAAAGTATAGTGCTTATAACAGTGCTTGGCATGAAGTAAGCATCTAATGAATATTTAATGTTATTATTATTTTATGCCCTGACTCATGGTCCATCCATCTTTCTGTTATTATTCTATAACATTTTCTTCATAAGAAAACCAAGTGTATTTGGAAACAAGCAACCCCAGGACATAATGGACCTTGAGACCAGAACTAGATGGTGTCCAGCTACCAATGCCAATCACTCAGGAAGGAATCAAAACAGGAAATCCAGGATAGAGTGGGAGGAAATATGTGGAACAAAATCTAAAAACACAGTAATGACCAATATCACTGGTCAGATAGAGTCTGTTGGGACCCCCAAGACAGTGGCCCTGGGATACATGTCAAGCCTAGAATAAAACTCACTCCCAAGGGCTGGTTCTCAGTGCAACAGTAAATAAAACTTGCATGCAGAACACTCAACCCAGGGCATTGTACCCACCTACTCTACAGAGATACTTCCCTGATGCAATCAGCCATGGAGCACCAGAGGGGTAACAGTCACAAGGAGGAAAAGCTGGACAGAGAGGAGTGCATAACCAAGGTACTGACAAAGAATGACTTTGGGGGTGGTTACTGGGAAGGGAGAGGAGGAGAGTGGGTTAGAGTTGGGGGTGGTAATTAGGAAGTGAAACCAAATGTACATGAAATGTTGAATGTAAAACAAATTCTGCTCTGTAAATTTGCACCTAAAGCACACACAAAAAAAATATAAATAAAAATATATTCTTCATAAGCACTAACATACAGTATATGCCAGATGCATACTTAGTGAATGAATGCATGGATAAATGACCAATCATAGTAGAGACTTTAAATCATCAAAAGGAGTTTGATATTTTTTAAGAAGAAATATAGGGAGCTCTGGTAGCATAGTGGCTAAGACACTTGCCTGCTCACCAGACGGCTGGTGGTTCAAACCCACCAGCCACTCCTCGGAAGGAAGGTTAGGCAATCCTACTTCCGTAGTGATACTGCCTCGGAAACCCAAGGAGGGGTCGCTATGAGTCGGGGCCGACTCAACGGCAAATAACAACAACAACAACATAAAAAAAGGGTGAAAGTTTTAAAAAGTTGATGCTTGAAGGAATTTTGTTTAATTATCTGAAAAATTACATAAAAGAACTTTTCCAACATGCCAGAGATTAATGAGGAAATGAGGCATTTCAATATAGTGTTGCACAGATTCAGAATTTTAGAATGAGAAGGGACATTGGGAATCATCTAGATAGTAGTTCTCAACCCTAGCAACACTTAGACTCACCTAGAGTATTTTTAAACATACATATACAGCCAAATTCTTACACACACACACAGAAAAGATGCAGAGTTGCCTTGAATAATAAATAATAAGGTCCTGATTCATTTTGCCAATGACACAGCTGTTGGCCCTCAGAAGAAAATGTCAGGCAGTGGACCTTTCCCCACTGCCCTGTCCTTAACATGAGATTTACTGACATTCCAGGATGGATAGATGGATACTGCCAATCTTTTTTCAAATACTAGAATGTAAACTTACTAATGAGATTGTGCTGTGAGCTAAGTTCCATGCAAAGCTGAGGTGGTCACCTAACTCTCTGGCTGAACTTAAGTAGACACAGGCCTCTCTCACTACAGGAACATCTGTCTTTCTCTCACCACATCATGCCCTCAAACCTTAGAGTTAAGAGGTCCAGTACCCTAGCCTCCACTGCTCCCCTTACTCTCACAGAAACAGTTGGATGAAGACAGCACCCATAAATGTAGTCTTGATCCTATTTCCTGTTGTTTGCTGTCCCAGGAAGCCCTTGGAGGGTGGTTGTTCTCTCCAAGCCCCAGGGTTTGGGTTATAATTGAGAGCTTAAGTCACCCAACAGGCACTTGGATATTTTTCTCTTTGAGTTCACTGTGACCATGGAAGACATGAGATCAGGATTTCTTTACAGAAAACACCACCACATCTAGCTAGAGCTCCCTCCACAACACTATGGAGATTCTCTGTGAATGTAGCAGAGTTTTCCCAAAATAACTGTCCCTCCCCAAGACTTCCTGCTGATCCATGATCTCCAGTAAAAAACAAATGCCTTTTATGATTTAAATTGAGTAGTCTCCAGCTTCCATGGTTCTTTTCTATCACCATTCACCTTCCCACTATTGTACATCTATCTGACAGTGTCAGGTGAGCTGATGAGTTGGTCTGGAATGGTTCAGTATCCTGGTTCTTCCAGCCACTACCCACAGGTTCAAGATCTGGTTCAGCTGACAAATCAAAAAATATTAGATCAGCATCAATTCATCCTAGTTCCCAAATATTTATATACTCCTGGACTATGAATGCCTGAGCTCTGTCATAGTATCTCCTCTCCTTTCCGATCCTGATTCTTCTCTTTTTCTCATTTTTCCTGCCCCTAAAATTCAGCCTCTGAGCTGAATCCCTGTCTCTTCCTTCCTGCCTAGATATCAGCCATGAACCTTTAACAGGTGACCCCAATATACCTGCATTCCCAAACTTCTCCCACTGGCCTTGACCCTCTGCCAGGTATTGGGATAAGCACTTTCAGTATCATTGTTGTCATTAGTGCTATCAAGTCAATTTTTACTTATAATAGCCTATGTTGCAAAGCAGAATTACCCCATAAGGCATTCTTGGCTGCAGTCTTTATGGAAGCAGATTGCTAGGGCTTTCTCTCATGGAACCTCTAAGTGAGTTCAAACCTCCAACCTTTTGGTTAGCAGTTGAGTACCACCAGGACTCCCTAGTTTTTCAGCATACATTGTCTCATTTGAAACTCCTCTAAGCTGGGTTCTTACTCCATTCTGCAAATAAAAAATTCAAGTTGCTTTGTTTGTATTTTTTAAAAAAGTTGTCCAAACTCTATTTATTTCTAAGCTTTCAATTCAACCTTTTCACTGCTTTGTCTTACGATAATAACAAAAACGGTAGTAATTCTTATATACCATTTATTGAGCACTTAGGATGTGGTAGGTGCTTGACCAAAACCTTGGTGGCACAAAGGTTAAGCATTCATTCGGTTGCTAATTGAAAGGTCAGTGGCTCAAACCCACCAGCTGCTCCAGAGGAGAAAGATGCAGAAGTTTGCTTCTATAAAGATTACAGCCTTGGAAACCATAGGGTCTAGTTCTACTCTGTCTTATAGAGTTGCTATAGGTCAGAACCGATTTGATTGATGGCACACAACAACAGGTGCTTGTCATGCATTATTTAATTTAATTATCACAACAGCTCTAAGACATTAGTACTATTATTACATCTGTTCTAAAAATGGGAAAATTAAGGCCCAGAATGGATAAGTGACTTGGACAAGACTTAAATCAAGATCTAATCCTGACTGTTTGATTCTAGAACACTCATGCCATGCTCATGTCCTCAAGCAGTGCTTATTTTCTGTCTCAGAAATCAGCATGTTGAAAACTTTTACTTTCTTTCACAACTTTAACAACCTTAATGCTTTTAAGGACATAATTATTTTGAAGCATGAACAAAGTTTCCTCATCTGTAAAAACATGGCCTTGAAAGCAAATGAGAAAATACCAGTGAAAGAATTCTCTCCTTGTTTAGGATTACAGAAATGTTAGAGATTTGTCATATTAGTTATGTTGAAAACTAAATATTGAAGCTTTTTTTTTTTTTTCCTTTTCCTTTTCCACAGGAGAACAGGGAAAGAGATAAGAATAAAAGTCTGGAGTATTATATTCACATATAAAGAATCAACCATTATTTAGTGAGGACCTATATATATATAGGGAGCTCTGGTAGCATAGTGGCTAAGACACTTGCCTGCTAACCAGACGGCTGGCGGTTCAAACCCACCAGCCACTCCTCGGAAGGAAGGTTGGGCAATCCTACTTCCGTAGTGATACTGCCTCGGAAACCCAAGGAAGGGTCGCTATGAGTCGGGGCCGACTCGACGGCACATAACAACAACAACAACAACATATATATATATAAGGAATTCCCTTCTCACTAGGAAATACTATTCATACCCTTTGTGGCACTTAAAATTTTTATGATGCCTTTGGTCGTTTTTATATGATGCCTATTTCCTATACTAGTCTGTATGTTCTGTGAGCTCAGGGACAGAGTTTCTTTTGTTCAGTCTTTAGCACAGTGCCTGGGTCATAGTAGATGCTCAGTAAATATTTGTTGAATTGATTTAATACAAATATGAAGTTCTCATGGGCCCCACCAGGGTCAGTTCCAGAGCAAAGTGCCATTGTTGTGTCACTTGGAAGTAGATAAAAAGATCCTCAAAGATTCCTCCTATTGAGAGATTTAAAAACTTTATCAAAATAGATTTTGTAGTTGTCACCCTGAAGAGGGCATGCTACTGAAAGTATTGGACAAAGTGACCTGAAAGTATTACAAAGGCAAAAACTTGAAGGCACGGACATCAGTTTTCATTATCTACTTGCCCACCTACCACCTCCTACCTCTAAATCCTAGAGAAGAACCTTTCAAATAAGTGGAATTAAAATCCATGTTGTTGTTGTTGTTGTTGTTGTTATGTGCCGCTGAGTCAGCCCTGACTCATAGCGACTCCTCCTTGGGTTTCTGAGGTGTTATCACTATGGAAGTAGACTGCCCAACCTTCCTTCCGAGGAGTGGCTAGTGGGTTTGAACCACCAGCCTTCTGGTTAGCAGTCAAGTGCCTTAGGCACTATGCTATAGGTTGGTGCAAATGGTTAATCACTCAACTAGTAACTGAAAGGTTGAAGGTTCA